CCTTCATCAATTCTCGTTATTTTCCCGTAAGAGGTATATTTGGCTGAACTAATTACCTCTGTTTGGCTGAGTTTTGATGCTCTTTTATGCTTGAGTTTCAGTTTGAATACGGACGGATTTCATGTTTTAAAATGTGAAATTGAGGTGCTTGATAAGTGTGTTATGGTCCTGAACTTGTTATATTTTGCGGGTGCTGTTATGACAAACATTCATGACTGTTGGTTTAGTTTTGAAAAGAAGAGGAGCTTGGTTTATGAGATGATGCCTTACTAGATTGTGTAAATTGGAAGCTATTGCTGTGTTATTTTTGTGTTGATTAGTATGATGAATATCAGATTTTAGGATCTGCTATAAGGTCTTCATGTTGTCTTCGTTATGTTGAATTCGAGATGTGATTAATTGCGATGATATGTTGAATAAGAGAATATGTGAAAATTTGTGGTGTTATGTGAATTGTGATTTATGTGATGTATATATGTTCGGGATCTCTTCAATTATGAGAAATTGAACGAGACCTCGAAAGTCGTGTAAGTCGGTGGATAATGGAACAATGTCGAGTCCTTGGTCTTATGAAAAGGCCTCAGACAATAATTGTGTGTTGTGATTTACTTGTCAAGTTGTCGAGCTTGTTAATCGCTGTTTTGATGTTCGAATTTTTAAAAATAGCTCGCTGCTCGAAACGATGTGAAATTTTGAGGGATGTGTTATCTATTCATTGCCTGCCTTGTGTCAAATTTTCATAATTTTTGGAGACCTGTAGCTATTTTTAATAATTAATTTGTATTCTGTCCAGAATATTGTTAAATGCATAATAAATACATGCTTGACTGAAATGAGCTGAAATTCGTATATGTCGTGCCTCTGTGACTTATATGTGTTGTGTTAAATTTTTGGAAATTTTGGAGTTGATTTGATATGGATAATATTTTATTTCTTGATTCTGCAGAAGTGTTGTTTGAATTTTTAAAAATCGGTTACTGCATGGAAAATTCTGAAATTTTACTGAGAGTCATATTTTAGGTGTTTGATCATGTTTGTAAGATATGGGAATTTTTAGAGTCCGTGTTGATTCAGTTTGGGGTTAAATTCGATAAACTGCTATTCCTCGTTTGAATTTTTAAAAATAGCAGCAGTTATCATTTAAGGCTGAGATTTTTACAAATGTACTTTGGCATACTGTATGTTATTGTGTAAAATTTTAAAGACCAGATTAATTCATTAAGTCTGAGTATGAATTAATGTGCCCATTTTACTGATATGTTGTTCGAATTTTATAAAATAGGGTATCTTGAGTTTAAAGCTGAAACTTTGTGATTTTTCCTGTTTCTGGAAGATGAAATTTTGTGTGAATTTTCAGAGCTTAATTCGTAGGGTAGCTTGACCTTCTATTTTCATGCGATTAAATGATTTCAATTTTCGAGCATAATTGTATATGGAAAATTTGGATCGACTTGCTTTTTGGTTTTATGTGAGTTTGACTTGGTCAATCCTTAGATGGATTTGTGTGAACTCCCTGGCGTGTTTTGGTTGAGTTTAGTGCCGAGTCTTAGTGTTCCAACATCCACAGAACTTCACGAACTACTTAGTCGAAACGAGTTCGACTAGGTCTGTCTTGTGATTTCTGATTTAAGACGAGATAGATTCTGATTGTAGGATCTTGTCATAATGTAGGTGTCTAGAGGTGTTGACCTCGCCTCGTTTCTGGATTTGTGATTCTGTGAACTGTTGCTGCTATCAGGTGGGTACATTTATGATGTATTCCATATTTATCGCACTCCTTATTTCGTGTAATGCTTTCTTTTGAAAATTATTGTATGCATGAGAACTCTAGTCTAAGTGTCCCGAACGATAGTGCCTTTGACGAATGCATAACAGTGAGAGGTCACCTGCCCGTTGTATCCGGGAGGCGACGCCCTGATCCGTGTGAGTTTCGGGGGGGAAAAACATCTCCACTGTCTCCTGGAAAACATCCATGATCCGTGAGTAGTTCGGTGTGGACTCCCATGATCCGTGAGTGGTTCGGGGTGGGGGAAATTTTCCAGTTACGGCCTTGCCGATGTTTGGTTGGAAGGTTGTTGTATGTACATAGGAGGTTTGCGATAGGGCCGGGTAGGGGGTTTAGGCTATGAATTCTATGCATACGGATATTGATATTGGTTTATTATGAAACTGCTTTCTAAATAATTATACGAGATAACCGTGCGATAATGGTGAGCTAGTTTGGTTGCTCAGCCCCATTATTTTCTTTGGTGTTCTCTCTCTTCCTTTGTTTTAAGTTGAGACGAGCTGGAGGCGGTGGCGTAGGACGAGCGAGATGGTGGTCACTGTTTGATGATATATTATGCTTCCGCCTGTTTATGATTTGTTGAACTGAATCTTGACTTGAATTATTTTCCCGCTTGGATTTGGATATTTTATTATGTGTTTATATCCCTGCTTGATTTCGTATACTGATTATGTGTTGTTCAAGAACTTGTTACTTAATCATTTGCTTTCATACTTTGGATTATTTATTTATTTGCCTTCGAACTATGTTTGAGTTTCGTTTGAACCTTCTTTAATGCTAGACGTTTGGAAATGATTTTGAGATTTATGTTTTATGAGACTGTTTATTTGATAGCTCAAGCATGTGTAGGTTCTTTGGATTGATTGATTGGATGTGTTCATTTGCTGTGGTTAGTAAGTAGCGCCCGTT